CTCGAATCAGACTTAAATTCCCCGCCTCTAGTGCCGACTGCCTCCCAAGACCACGTGAAGTAGGTCTAAGGCTTGGTACACACGTAAGGATTTTTCAAATCTTAAATTTAAAAAAAAAAGAAAAAAATCTGTGACAGACTAAACATATAAAGAGAAAATTTTGCAGACATAACTGCCTCCCAAGACCACGTGAAGTAGGTCTAAGGCCTGGTAGACACGTAAGGATTTTTCAAATCTTAAATAAAACTAAAAAAAAAAAGAAAAAAATCTGTGACAGAATAAACATATAAAGAGAAAATTTCACAGTTTTTGCTGCGTGCATGTAAACAAAGTCCCGCGAGGCAGAAATCTCAGAAGATCACACGTGATGTCACCCAAACGAAGAACAGACACTTCTGGATATGCGCTCATGAAACCAAGCCGAGTGTTTCCAAAGCCGACTGGAGGCGATGCCGTCAAAAAAGTCTTGCCTTGGAAAATACTTCTTGGCGTCCGGGAACCCACTTTTATATGCAAAGGACACTGGATCACATGGACTGTTTTGTTTTATTTCCTACCGCTTCCTTGTTTATCAGTCAGGGCGCTTGTTTGATTGTCTACAGGCTCTTCTGTTCACGTCACCGTCCGCACAGTCAAATGACTCGGAGGGACGTCACCTTTGCCCACACGTGAAGATTTTTTGGTTGTGCCAACTCGTTTTGGACCCTGTTGGGACACTTTTTCTCTCCATCTCAGACATGAGGATGATCTTGTAAGCCATAAAATTGGATGTCCTTGGGTCAGTAAAGAGGCAAAATGTGGACAAAAACAGCCCAATCGTCTTCATCTGCGTACCCGGCCTCATTGCATTCATCAAGCGCAAAGTTCATCAGAGCTAAATATCAATCCAATGATGAGGACCCACCAGAGGGAAGTCATCAGGGTCGATCCAGACAATGCTGAGATCTGGGTTGTTGGTGTTGTCTCGGGCCACGTCCTTCAAGATCTCCAGCAATTCATAGCCATCTGGGAGTTTGATGGGAACGCGTGAGAGGTGAGGGTGCGCAACAATTTACACGTCAACACCTTTTGGGACTAAAGGAGAGGAAAATATTTTCAAACCTGGGTCCTCCTCTTCAGCGAATGCAACGATATGGATTCCGTCCATGTCGTCCTCCTGGAGGGTGAGCAAAGCGTGGGTGATTTTCAACACCCTGTCGGCGATGCGTCACAGCACGAGTACCGCTCGTTGAATTCTATTTACCCATGTCTCAAACATGTTCTCTGCCCGGAGCTTTCTCAGAGTGGCCCTGCAAAATGGCACTTACAAGTCAAAATCCAGCGCAGGCTTTGAACAAAATGCCACATCAGTACCGCATGAATTTAACCTCCTGTGTTGATTGACAAAGTCCACAATGTCCGTCTCCGATAGGGGTCGGCCGGGCAGGACCACGGGCTCCTCCATGAAAGGCTCGTAAAAATTCACCTCGTTCATCTTGAGGGAGAGATGTTTGGCCACCTGAAAAGCATCCCGATTCTTCAGAGAAGACGCACGTCGCACGCGTGACATGACATCAACGTGACAATTTGCTTTGCAGCACTTACAGATTTATCAAACGTGGCAAAGAACTTGATGTAAGGTTGAAAACGTTCAGAGGCCTCCTGGAAGGCTTTGTAGTCTGAGAGGCAGGAAGAGAGAGTTAGGAAGCCCGCAGACGTTGCTGTTGGCGGAGTGGCAGTACCCGGCAGCTGCGATTGTGTCTGACTCGTTCCAGGATCAGCGATATTGCTGCAATGATGGAGCAACGCGACCTGCCTCGTCTGTCAGCGTGGAGGAACTTGATTACGAAAACAAAGAATTAAAGGGAACAGTCTTTCTGGAACAAACATGCACTGACTAGCTACACGCTGTCATTTGAGAGTGCTTATCTTAACATCCATCCATTTTCTGAACCGCTTTATCCTCACAAGGGGCGTGCTGGAGCCTACCCGAGCCGTTTTCGGGCCAGTCAGCGGGGGACACCCTGAACCACTTGCCAGCCAATCGCGCTCACACTCACACCTTAGGACAATTTAGAGCGTTCAATCAGCCTGCCATGCATGCTTTTGGAATGTGGGAGGAAACCGGAGTACCCGGAGAAAACCCACGCAGGTCCAAGGAGAACATGCAAACTCCACACAGGGGTATCGAACCCAAGACCTCTGCACTGTGAGGACGACGCGCTAACCACTGGACCACCCACCGGGCCACCCGCCTTATCTTAACAGTATCCCTAAATGTATGGGGTGGTAAAAATGTGCAACAGCAAACAATTAGGGTTCTCAAACCTTTTGGGCGAAGGGCCCCCTTATGGGGAAGATTTTTTTTTTTTAACCCTATAATGCCATTGGTATCATATTTGATACATGCAGTTTCATTATGTAACTCATTCTTTATAGTACATTAAATCATCTGTATCAAATTTGATACTGCAGGTTTAAAATATGATTTTCCACAAATTTTCAGTTTTTGATGTAATCTACATAATGCTTATGAATGTGATACAACAAATATCTAAAACAAAATAATATGGCAAAAATATTTTTGTGGATTTTGTTATAAGGGTTAATTAATGAACATCTCAGTTCCCAAAAATCTGATTTTTCTGGCTATTCCTTGGAGGGTCAGGCATTAAAGGGTTAAAGACCCCCTCATAATCCAAAAGCCAGCTAAACATGAATACCATGAACAGCGCTCATTGCCATCCACATTCTTCCGTCTATCCGGGGTCAAGTCGCAAGGGCAGCAACCTAAGCAGAGAAGCCCAGACTTCCTTCTCCCCAGCCACTTCTTTCGGCTCTTCCAAGGGGTTCCCGAGAACTCCCCCAGGCCAGCCAGGATATGTAGTCTCTGGTTCCTCTCCCAGTGGATCCTCCCCGAAACATCTCATCAGGGAAGCACGTGGTAGGCATCCTGAATAGATGCCCGAGCCACCTCACCTAAGCTCACCTCATTGCGGAGGAGCAGCTGCTTGTCTCTGATACGCCTCACCGCTATCTCTCAGGGAGCGCTTGGTTAGCCTGCAAAGTGATCTGCGATCTTGTTCTTTTGGTCATAACCTACAGCTTGGAAACCAAGGCTTGAAGGTGGGAAGTATCGACCGGTAAATTGCGAGTTTTGACTTGCTCAGCTCCTTCTTCCCCATGATTGAGAGTGGCTCGTGGATGCCGCTTTGAGAATCGCTGCCTTCAGACTACGCTGTGAAATATCACATCAGAACCACAATGAACCAGATCGTATCTTGTCTCAGTGTCATAATTTCAGTTTGAGCAATTAGCTGGTGAACTAGATGCTATTTGAAGCCTCTCATGAGAGAAACCACCGGGTAAAATCAGGAGACGGGGGGGGATCGAGATCCCATTAGAGGTCTATTGGGACTCAGCATGGAGCTATTGGAGGACACCATTTTTTTTTTTTCGGTTTGACTGCAAATGAGCGTGTACGAGTCGGGGCGTCACATGGTAAGAAACTCACATAAATCCTCTCCTTTGAAGTAACCAATGAGGCGAATGTCTTCCTCTATCCTTTCGAAGGCTCTGAGCTCCATTGCGTTGTTGATTATTTCCACCGGGTCCTCCAGCACCTGCAGAAAGAGGGGGGAGGGGGCAGCACAGTAACAAGCTGCAAGGAATGCATACAAATCTGAATAAATGTGTGTATCTAGGCCAAGGGTACACACACACAATTTGTGGGTGTTGCAATGGTAGCTTTGTGTGCCGTACACTCACATCCAGGAGGAACTCCACAAGAGTGTCTGCTGAGAGTTCTCCATCAAACTCAATGATGCGATCGTCCTTAAAGATGTACAGGCTTCCCACCTCTTCTAGGCCTGCCCAAAAATGGTATCATCAGAGAACCGCCGCTGGACACGAGAGATACTGTACATGCGAAATGGCTTACCGAGCTTCTTGGCTACTTTGGCATCCTTCTGAGCATCCACCATTCCAAATCCAATGTTTTTGTTCTCCAGCACCTGAGCAGTCAGCTAGGTGGTGATCACATCAAACAAATTATTCCTTAAATCTGTTTACGATACGCTCTTCCCCGATAAATCATAACGATCACAAGACGACGACGCTTTGTGTCCGATGTTTCTCACCTCCAGGACCAGCTCGGTCATCTGGAAGCGCTTCTGCAGGCCTTTGTTGGCAGGTACGGGCTCATGGTAGAACAGACATAGCAGGTCGAATTTCCTCAGGGCTTTCTTGTAGCTGCGCTCGTTGATATCCAGCACTCGGTCCCTGCCATCAAAGTTGGGGAATTCCAGACCTTCCTCTGCAGCACAAAGCACAATGAAATAAATGCCGAGGGTACAAAGCAGAGACAGGCGCATTTCCAGCACTGTTGTCCGGCGATGAGAGAGGGAAAAGTAATTAGCAGGTATCAAACATTTAAGTTTTAGCAACGGTATTCAAAAAGCTTGCACAAAGTGTATCACGATGGCCCCAGTTTGTGCTCCTCTCAGCTATCGCTCTCTACATTCTCTATCGACCTGGGCTTACTCTCCTCTCTCCATCACCTAGTTAAATCTCACAGGAGGCATTTCTCTCCTCCTCCTCACCCATATACAAGACAGACATTCGTGATGATGATTCTGTCTGTCTACTGCATCTACTATATACAGGTATATCCTCACCCATATACAAGACAGACATTCGTGATGATTATTCTGTCTGTCTGTCTACTGCATCTACTATATATAATGTATATTTATAGTACAGTAGGTATTGTAAAGTGCTCTATAAATACAGTTGAGTTGAGTTGTTTCTTACTCTGAAAACAAAACAACATTTTGGGTCAAACAAAGAAAAATATATTTTTCAAAAAAACTCAATTGAGCTAAATTGAATCCAAATAAGTGGACACATTTCCTATCAAACCCGTTTGAGCCCTTTCGATTCAGCATTACGGTAGGTAAGGATTTGTGGTGGACATTACCGTAATCCGTGCTCTCAGACAGAAGTAGTCGATGCCAGATGAACACACGCCTCTTCCAAACTCAGACAAAGCTTTCAGATCGAGGAAAATGGAGCGCTGCTATGTGTGGGTCTTTGTATTTGTGCTGCAAGGGTGCATTTTGTCCCTGCTTTGTGAAGCAGGTACTGTACTGCGATTTTTTTGATGGCGATTGTGTATTTAAAACAAATCCAAACGAGTTCGTTTTCGCTACATTTAACTTTATGTGCTCTTTGTTTATTCATTAGCTTGCGAGCTAGCTAGCTAGCTCCAAACTAACCAATGTAAACTATAACTACTCGGAATAACCATTCGGTCACTTTTACATGTTTGCACGAGTGTGCCTTTTTTGCCCCACATCGTATAAATCCTCATTAGATAATTATGTTTTACTTTGTACTATTTGTTTAATTGATTGTGGTGACATTTTTCTTATCTTCTTTTTTTTTGACACGCGAACTCTGCTTCAACTGTTGAGCCAGTTACAATGTAGTTTAGGTACATTTTTACAGAACTTTTCAGATGAAAGTCAATCTCAAAAATAAATGTGGAGGATATGTTAAGGTCTGATGAAATCAAAGTTGAACGTTTTGAACATCATTCCAAAAGTTATGCTTGACAAACACAATCCTGGTCATCACCCAAAGAAGAACACCATCCCTAACCTTCAGGAGGCACGATGTTGGCGGTAAAAAAAAAAAAAAAAAAAATTGCAATAATAAAATGTCAGGAAAAGCCTTCTAGAACACATGAACTCAATAAGAGGTTAATCAGATTCAATTTAAATGGTGGCCAGTGTGTGCTGGCCCCCATTTAACATGAGTTTAAATTTGATCTGTTCATACTGAGCACAGCCACACACCAGTTAGAAGAGGGTGTGCAAAATTTCACAACCACATAATTTCAATAAATACCCCCCCCCCTTTGCAGAAATTATATAAATTATACAATTAACTTGTACGTTATACGAATCATACAGCAATGGTGGATTTTTTTAAAATGATTTAGTATCTCGGTCTCATTAATATTATATCACAAAAACCTGATATTTGAGCAGGATCATGTAGACTTTTTATAACCAGAGCACAGCCATGAAAAAAAAAAAAAACAACCAATCACGCCTCAGGACAATTCGATGAACTCAGAGTGCGGAAGCCACAGTACCTGGAGTTGATTTCATGCATTTCTCTGCTCTTTCTCTCTTGCTCCAGGCAAACAGACAATAAAGGACATGATATCTGAGGCTGTTAAAGTACATACTGGGTGTAATTCTGTCAACTGTAGTTGCCATCTAAAGTGAGTGCGATCACCAACCATTTTAATAATGATCTGCATAGAATGACAGTATGATTTTTTTTCTGATGTTGCTTTCAGGAATTTAACAGGGCTTGACTCTCAAAGCCCTCACTTTGTACCATGCATGTTTTTCCTACTGCAGGGTCTTGCAGCAAGACTTGGCTCCCTTTCAGGGAGGAATTTCAGAGAATCTCATGGCTTCGACAATCCAAAGAGGGATGGGCACCCACTACCAGATCATTGGACATAAATTGTACAGGGAACATAACTGCATGTTTCCAGCCAGGTCAGTTCTGCCCAGTAACAGGCATGCTGTCAAAACTGCAATTGTGTCCTTTTTTTTAAAAATTAAAGTTGAATTTCCTTTTGTGTCTTCAGGTGCAGTGGGGTTGAGCATTTCATATTAGAGGTGATTGACAAATTACCTAATTTGGAGATGGTGGTAAATGTCAGGGATTATCCTCAAATGCCCAATTGGGTGCAGCCTACTTTACCTGTTTTCTCCTTCAGTAAGGTGAGTGTGAACATGAACTCGGGTTGCAAAGGGATATGAGATGTGGGAAGTTTGTGACCCGTCAGCTAACTTGGGGGGGGGCATGTGCCTTCTAGTTTGGTGCCGTCATGTTTGGAGTGCAGCACAATAGTTTACCACAAAGCTTTAATTGCATACTAGCAAATTAAAAGTGGCACGAAAAGTGGAAAAAAGAAGACTAGTAAGACATATTTTTACAAATTGCCATGGGAAGTTGACACCTTTGAAATTCCCAAGAATCTTGCAAGCGTGTGTATGTATGTGTGTGTCACGAGTAGACTTCAGACTACCAGGACATCATGTACCCGGCGTGGACGTTTTGGGAGGGCGGCCCCGCAGTGTGGCCCATATATCCCACCGGCCTGGGACGATGGGATCTAATGAGACACGATCTCAAAAAGTAAGCCTGAAGGATGTCTTTGTCTAATCTGTGTGTGCGTACATTTGCTGACAACTCAGTCGGGTCTCATGGGAGGATGATGTTTTAGGTCTGCAGCTCAGTGGCCGTGGAAGAAAAAAGAGTCGAAAGGATTCTTCAGAGGATCCCGGTTAGTAGTTCTTTTTGTGTACGAATGAACTTTTGTTTTTATTTTTTGGGGTTGTTGTTATTGCCCCAACCTTCTGTTTGCAGCTGATGCATCAAGTTGGAGCCAGACAGTCCTCTCTATAAAATAATTTTTCTGCGATGGATATATCTGAGCCTCGATGTACAGTTTTGACCCCGTGTGGGTTTCAAGAAAAAGCCCATTATCAATCTGAGAACCTGATTGATTGATTGATTTAAATAATTGGAATTGTATTGTTATTTCTCTTCTGCCGAAAAAAGGGAACGGTTCAAAAGGTCATTAAAAGCCCCAATTGACTGACATGCATGCCTGTGATGATGTGATGTAAAGTGATGAGAAATCAGATTGTTCATGAACTCATCTTGCCCCTTTCGTCTCCGTTGGTAGAACGAGTCCAGAGCGTGACCCGCTGATCCTGCTTTCTCGAGAGAGGCCAGAGTTGGTCGATGCAGAATACACAAAAAACCAGGCCTGGAAGTCTGACAAGGTCAGGCTCTCATGTTTCTTCAGATTTTATCTGAATTTAAGATGCAATGCCGTGTTTATGTTTCAAACGCTGGACCATTTATTTTAGGACACTCTCGGGAGAGCACCAGCCAAAGAAATCCCACTGGTTGACCACTGCAAGTATAAGTAGGTTATATGTCCCGCCTACTTTTTTTTTTTCATTTAATCGTTGCAAATTGATTTTTGACCCACACCAACGCGGTTAACATGTCCGCCACACCGCCCCCGTTGTGGAGTTTCCATTTTCTACCCGCGCTTGAATTAATTGACATTGAACAAAAACCCTTTTGTTGACGATGAGAACGACTTGAGCTTTTGCTTCCCCAAAGTACGGCTCGCGTTGTCTTCTCCTCCCCCAGGTATTTATTCAACTTCCGAGGAGTGGCGGCCAGCTTTCGTTTCAAGCATCTCTTTCTTTGCGGTTCGCTGGTGTTCCACGTGGGGAGCGAATGGCAAGAGTTTTTCTACCCTCAACTCAAGCCCTGGGTGCACTACATCCCCGTGAAGCAGGATCTCTCTGATGTCAGGTACTGTCCTGAGCTCGGGAAAGCGGCCACGCTGCTGAAATGTCTCCATTCTTTCGACAATCGCTTTCACATCTATCTATCGACATACACAGACACGTTCGGTAGAGGTCGCTGTTAGCCAATGGGATGCCAGGATGATGCTCGGGAATAGCCAATCGCAGAGCAGCTCTAAGTATGTTGCGTTCAGGAAACTCGGAACTGCGAGTAGCAGCCCATCCTGTGTTTTGACCTTTCGTATCTTGAAATTTCTTTTCGTAACAAGAGGCAATATTTTCCTGTTGAGGCGTTTTGTAACTTGGAACATTTTGTATGAAGAGACGTTCGTAAGTAGAGCTACCACTGTTTATGTAATCCGTTTAACGTGTTGAAAATGCATTCTGTTCACAGAGAGTTACTCCAGTTTGTCAAAGACAATGATTCCATCGCGCAAGAAATTGCCATCAGGTAATCTTATTGTTGGAAGGCGCTGACTTCAGAGTCTCCAAAAACATTCCTTCGGTTTTTCCACAGCAACCGACACGATTGCTATTTCTCGTCTGCGCTTTACAGAGGCATGGAGTTTGTCTCAGAGCACCTGCAAATGCGAGATGTTTCCTGCTACTGGGAGCGACTCCTCACAGAGTTCAGTCAGCTTCTCACCTACCAACCCAAAAGACGGAACGACTACAGTCAGATAATGCACAAGCCCGGCAAGACTGAGCTATGATCAAGAAACTGTTGCTGGCAAGCTGTCGTGAAGGGACATTTTTTTACCAAATGCGTTTGTTCTCTTCGAAGCAATGTTCTAATAATTACACGGAAAGCATTACCTTGAATATGTTGTAGTATTCACATTACAGGGTGTACAGTTTGTATTTATTGAACAAATGTGCTAATGTTCCACCGACACAGTGTGTTTACTCGACCAAAAAGCTGTGATGACGCATCTGGTCCAAGTAGAGGACATCCAATCTTTTAAATACGTTTGTGTTTCTAGACAGTAAAATTTGCGGTACTCAATACAGACTTGACCTGACATTCTGCATTTTCTGCATGTTAACATTTACTCGGATTACATATTTTTGAATATGTTTGATGCTGTATTTATTTATGTTTCATGCGGTTTTCGAATTAAAATCATTGTTTTTCTGTTGCACTATAATGGAAAGGAGTCGGAGGTGGTTTTAGTCAGGGGAATCTAGAAGGGGCTGTCAAAGATGGAAATTATGATATGAGAAAAGCACACAAAGGATTATCTGTAATCTGGTGGAAGAGTTTCTCAAAGGGATGGGCACAGCATCAAAATCAAGCCAATACCTGTGTATTGCTTGGTGTTACTTTACTGTCTGAAGTCAGGTCAGCATTGAAAATGAGAATCTGCTCTTAATTCCCTGACCCAAATAAATCAAGGATAATCAAATCCTAGCTCGGAGTTGAATCAGTATTTGTACTTAGGACAAAGTCTTTTTACACAAGCATGTGTTTGTACATCGTGCGAGTGCTTTTGCCACCTCTAGGTGGATGTATTTGAGTTTTTTTCATGCATTTATTTCTGATGATTCGCTCAATCCAGATACGTCCAGTTGGTGGCGGTAATGCGCTATACTGCAGATTTGTCAACTCCGAGTAAATGTCAAAGAAGTCAAAGTTGAAGGGTCGCGAAGGAGCAAGGACGATGTTAATAGAATAAATTCGCACCGGGAAATGTCGTGGCAGTAACGCCAATGAATTAAAACGGGCATCTGTCTCTCCCCCACCTCCTCAAGTGACTGGAGTCTAAACGTATTCAAGGTAAATTACATTTTCGAAGCTAACCAAGACGTTAGCTGCTCGTGACTAACGCGATCCAGCAATAAGACACCTGGTAGTCATGCGTACACTTTCATTCAAGACATTGCAGTATTTCGGTTGTATTAAGATAAATGGGAGGTACACGGCCACGGTTTTCGCCCCAAGTTTCTCTGACGTAGGTACAGTGCACAGTAAGTGCATACATCAATGTAATCATTTGCGGTTCAGCAATACTGTATATACTATCAATCAATCATTTGAACTGCATTTCCGCTTGCATATTCTCTCTAGTTTTTGTATTTTTTTCTCTCCCGTTGCTTATCTGGAATACAGGAGTACTCGTAACTCACACTCATGTTTTGGATAAATGGGTAACGCCGCTACCGTAGGTGCTTTCAAATCATAAATACTCATGTGGTTTACAGATTAAAATCATTGTTCACCGTAGGGGCGCGGGGTAACATCCACTTGCAGACCATTTGGTGGCAAATACGAGTTATTACTCTCACGTCAGTAAAAATAAAACGATTTCAGCAATGTGAATCAAAATTTTAGCTGTCACCTTTTACGTAATTTTATAGTTCTGTTAAACGTTGTCTCATTTTCAATTGACTGCTATTACTGGAAGGCTTGCTAAACTATAACTATAAACTTTCCTGAAAAAGATGCTAATATGTTGTTGAGCCCAAAGCCAAGCCTCATATTAGATAATGCTTTGACGCCATCTGGTGGCATCTCGTTGCCAAGCATCGAGTTTGGAGATTCATTTCAGTCAGAGTTGTCAAACTCATTTTTGTCGCGGGCCACATTGTCAGTTACATTTTCCCTCGGAGGGTCGTTATGCCCGTGAAACCATATAAAGAAGTAAAGAATAATGGTTTCTTCAACTATAGTTGAAGGTGCTTTCAAGAGGGGTTTGGTAACAGGAAAATGCTTACAATATCTCTTATTTATTAAATATGAGGAACTGACATTTTGGTACCGATTTTAGCAAGCATGTGTTTGATTTGCTTTTGCGGGCCACATACAATGATGTGGCAAGTCATATCTGGCCCCCTTGCCCTTGAGTTTGACACCTGTGATTTAGTTATAATGACTTCAATTCAGGCCATAGTTTAGTCTACAGTGTTTGTCAAGTGTTTTACAGTCATCATGTGGCATCTATGGGAATTACAAACCTTTTTGTGTGGGTGCCAATTGCTCACAGATTTTTCCTGTTCACGACAGGGGTTGGTCCCTATCACCAATGTATACATTACCCCCCACCCCCCACCCCCCCTTGTTTCGCCAGCGATACATGCTCCGCTGATTAAGCAATATAGAAAACGGATGGCTGTATCATGCCATATTTAATTGATATCAATGTATTTAATACTGTACAAACCAAACACAGACTGTATCTTATTACCCAGTGAACTGAAAATCCGCGTCGAGAATCAAGAGTAATAGATTAGATGAGCGCAAGACCTTGCACCACTTGACATCTGCTTATTTGGACAGCCACTCTTGCCCGTGCCAGGGTTTCTTCCGCCTTAGGGCTGTTTGTTTTTTAAGCGAGGGCGCGGGAGGGGGGGGTTGAAGCTGCAGCGGCAACTGTTAACTGTTCAGCAATGTGTTTGTGCCTCTGCGCCGCAGCCTGACGGCAGCTGAAGCGTGATGCATCCAGAGCAGCCCACAACAGGCTTCACCCTTCGGAGACAACTGGCAGATTCGGCCCCTCGGGGCACACTGAGCACCGGGCCAGTGCAGGGCCCGGGCCAGAGCGCCAGACGTCCTCGCTTCTGCCTCCTGCTCCCTAGGGTCCACGCAGCTGATGTGTCTTCTGCCCAGCCTGCACAGATGCGCTCGTCTCCCTCCTCCACCTGCGTAGTAGCTCCTCCACACCCCAGCGCTGCCAGCACCCTGCCAAGCAACATCGGCAAGCCAGAATTCCCCGACACGGGCTGGGACCGCATTAAGGATCTCTTTCAAAAAGAGTTAGTGTTTTTGTCTTTGCCTTTTTATTTCACAGTTCTCTTACTTAAATGCGAAATGGGAGACTTATATCGTATGACATCCAAAACGCTCATTCGCACAGTTTTCAAAGTAAAAGGCCAAGTGTGCCTGCGTCAAGCTGATTATTTACTCCCAGCTGACATTGACATTTCAAACGGACAAATGAAACACAAGACGATTAAACAGTGTAGATAAACGCCAAAATGTGCTACCAAACCGTTCAATGTCAACATTCCACTCTTCATGCTAACATTTAACATGAAAGGATCGTCATCTCTGTTTTCTTCTAATTCTTCTCTTCCTCTTCTTTCCTCCTCCTCCCCCTCCTCCTAATTTTGTGACACCTCCAGGAGAAAGACCCCAGTCCTTGCCTGGCATGTGGTGTTTTACTCAAGTTCTGACTTGACTGCGTAATAGAAAAATCGATTTTAAATGATCACCTTAAAATCTGCTGTAGTGGGGGCGAAAGATGAACCACCATATTGTAAGGCTTCGCTGTAGTCTGAATTCATTGTGCTACCAAATCAAGAGTGGAACAATGAAACGAAAACTCTTCATCTTATAATTGGCAAACTTGAGTTCATTTATTTTTTTGTTTGTTTTCAATGTTGCGTTGACCTTCGACTCTAACCCACTGTATGCCATCCCCTCAGTGCGAGTCAGGGTTACCCAGAAGAGGTGACCAGCGTGGTAAAAAGCGGCCTCGTTGGCTCCTTAGCGGGCTTGATCTACGGAGGCCTGCCGGCGGCTCGCCACGCTAGGCAGCGCTACATCCAGCTGAGCCAGGCAGAACTCTACACCAGTCGTGTGGAAGCGGTGGTACGTTAGCACTCGCGAAGCTCAAGATGCGCGCGGCCTTGATGCTTGCTCGCACTTTGTACGAAGGCAATTAGCCTCCCACAGCGTTCTCGAAGAAACACAAACGATAGATTTATTTTGAGTGGTACCATATTTTTCAGACTGTACTGAAAGTGGCTACACAGTTGAAGTTATGTTTGGCGGAGTATCAGTCCCACTGGACTTTTAAGTCACATTTTGGGAGGAACGTTTATTTTACAAAAACGGAGACCAAGCAAAACGTTTTTTTCTTAGAATATTAATCAAGGGGCCACTCAGAGTGTGAGCGCCCAGTCGCCCGTCCCTGGTGTTAAGAAATGTGTGCATGTCGTAATTCTTTTGGACATATTTTCTTGAGACAAAGACTCCACCAGATGGTGCCAAAGCAAGACTGTCCTTGCTTTGGCCTGATCAAAAAAAAGTACTGAGCTGTGACTTTGCCGGTGTTTGGCGTATACAGCGCTGGTCCCCAACCACGGTACCGGTCTGTGGGCTATTTAGTCCTGGAGATATATTTATTTTGTGGCGCAACATATATATCAGTGCCTGGCCGGATTATTTATTTGTCATTTCTATGTGTTTTGTCAAAATAAGCGTTCGGCCCACCACGCAGCCATCCGAGGTTTTGTGAGATATGGACTCCGATGGAGCTGGAGAGTCGCCGCTTTCGTTTCCTTGTTCAAGTAAGACCAATCATGCCATCGGGTCTGTGTGTTGATGACATCATCGTCGCGGTAACTCCTTGAGATGATGACCGCGTAATATAGTCGATCGTAATTTTGTGTCCGCACGTGTTTCTCCATCCTGCCTCCAGTTCTGTCACAATAGGTCTGTCCGTTTACCGCGACAAGTACACTCTCGGCAACTTTGCCGCAGCTGGAGGTGAGTTCACGGATTCTTACGTTAGCCCGATGGCCGTTCATGTTGTTTGTGAAGTTTTGTCCTCCTTGTTAAACGATTTAATGATGCCCGTCCTTACATAACTTCGTTGGTATGGTGGAACCACTAATGTTCAATACAATCAATTCATTTTATAAGATGCTGGTCAACCTCCAAATTGCTCTTTTGACCTTTCTCCCCATGTGTAACCCGAGCAGGATCTTTCACTCGCACTGCGCAATGCTTCCAAATACGACTAGGATGTGACCATTGCAAAAAATGGCCACTCAACCCCCGCAAATTGGGAGATTTAGCTTCCGAGATGAACTGTGCAAGTTTCTATGGCGTTCCGAGCAAGGCTCCTTGTACAATATGTTGTACCGTACCACTTCTTTTAATCTATAAAAAAATTGGTGTGTCAGTCAAGGTCGATGTGGGTAGCTACAGAAAGAGGACATGGGCAAGAATAAAGATGGGGGAAAAAATGGGCATACGTTAAAAGGTAGGGCTCGCTCCCGTTCATTTGATTTGAACTCTTGAGGTATGTACGCTGCTCACGTGTGTTTTTAACCACAGGCTTCGCTATTTCATCCACAAGAACGAATGAAAAAAGTATGGTTAAGTATTGGTGTAAAACTCAATATGTGTACTCTATATAAGGTATCTATCGCTTAGCGACTGCGTGAGCACTGGCTAAAAATGCGCGAAACGGCGACGCCGTGAAAGCTGAAGCGCGTTATGTCAAGGGATTATTGTACATGTATGGAAAATGACAACAAGAAAGTCGTTACAGCATACCCTCTCAAATTGAGCGCCACCATATCGAATAAAATCGCAATCCCACTGAATAGAATCGTTCTTCAATCGGATCGCGCCTCACGTATTTATTCAATTGTGTCGCTAATTTCAAGGCTTCTTTACATTTGCGTGATTGAAAAACTCACAACAACGAAATTGTGTGCTTGCGCTCGCGTGGCGCGTCTAGCTGTGACTGGAGGTCTTTTCCGACTCAACCTGGGCCCGCGAGGCCTGGTGGCGGGCACCATCATCGGAGCAGCGCTCGGGTAAGCAGCCCATCGTCCTTTTCCGCATCCGTCCACGGCTTACGACCTCCGTGCTCATGCTCTCGTGTTTGTTGTGCATGTTCACGGAGCTTGAGAGCAATGAGCACTCTGGCAGCCAGCTGCGGCCCTTCCAGCAACCCTCTGCGCCCCAGCTGAGTTTCCTCCCCCCCTCCCTCCCTCCTTCCCCGACCCGTGTCCTCAACCCTGTGCTGTCTGCCAGAGGCGCTCATGTGCACGCAGCAGTCCTGTGGCTTGGCTAATAGAGCGGAGAGGCCGGCCAAGGCAGCAGCTGCCCCTCTTCTTTCGACCATCTCCGTTATCCCAGCCTCTCCTCTCCTTAAAAGCCTGATGAGGACTAATGCTTCACTTGCGCCCATTCGCTTCTTCAGCGTTCCCTGTAGCTGAGCACGCAAAAGTGGGATTGATGTCCTCGCGGATGTGTGTGGCGCTCCGCCCACACCAATTGAAATGGAGGAGTGTTTAACATGGTAACAGCAGTTTTTGACGAAGATTTTGAAGCTGAATTGAACGGCGGAGACTGTCCCCCAAAGCCGAATTGGCCCGCTTATGCCACCTGCAGCCAGCTGGTGAGACTCGGCAGGTTGAGGCAAGACGCTGCAACGGCTCGCTCGCGACTGCAAGTTTCGCAACAAACTTCGGCGACTGCCTGTTAATCATGTTGCGGCTTTTGCTCTTAACTCGCTAACCGCAGCCTGCATCAACTCTCCTGCATGGCGGCCAATAAACAAAAAGTGTCGTTCTCATGAAGGGATTACGAGGAGTAATTAACTGAGCTAAAGACGTAGATGGTAATTGCCCAGCTAATTTAATGCCATCAAGGAAGACCAGAATCACAAGTGCTTTGGGTGACTGAGTACACGTGATAAAAGTCTCGCCGTTAAAGTGAAGCTGATCAAACTTTGACCCGCAAAGTAGCGGGCAATCTCATAAACGTTGGGAGAGAAAATGGATACAAAACGATATTCCACTCACAGTTAAACAAGAAATGGTCCGGTTATGATTATGCAAAAAAAAAAAAAAAAAAGAAAAAATGGGCTACTTGCTTCTGTTTACATTTGATAATTTTATAAACTGTAGCAGCAGTAGGACTGCTGGAAGCATTTCTCATTTGATACAGTTCTGTTTCATGTTGCCTCAAAATAAAGTACGAAAAAGCTAAGCAGTCATCATATATTGTCAAATGTTTTTGAGAATGACAAAGTATATTGCGGTATATGATTATTGTCAAACAAAATGGCCTCTATCGTGATATTATTTTTTCCCCTAATTGGCCAGCACAATCATCCAAGTATAAATGGATTGTATTTGTAGGATTCCTACGGGCGCTGTGATCATCAGCATGCACTCGCTGACAGGAGAAAGCCCTCGAGAGAGGAGGCGCCGAGAACGCAGAGAGATTTACGAAATCAAACTTGCAGAGTGGTGAGTTACATCCTATAACTGTCACAAAGACGGCTCAGCCATGCCTTGATTTATTTGGGGGATTTTGTTTTTTTTTTAACTCGTCGATCATCAGGAAGGCACGGCTTGACCTGACGGATGAGTTGATAGGCGACCTGAGCGAGGGCTCACAGGCAGAGGGGACGGAACGGGACTTGAAGAGGATCCAGGAGCTCCTCAGTTTACCGCAGAATGATGCGGCGCAGGAGGCGGGCAGCCGATGACGGTGCCGCCTGCTAAGTGACAGACACTGTGGGACTTCATTCACGTAATGCTGAGGAGAAATTTGGTCATTATTGGACTTGACCCCTCATCTCATTTGAAGTCAGGAGGAACTGAAACTGTTTTCAACATTCAGGTTAAAAAAATATATATATCTGTCTCTAAGATCAACTGAGAAATTAGAAAGCTGAATACTGTACGGTGGTCTCTTGAGATCATATCTCAAATTATCTTTTCCCTTTGAAATGAATGCCATTAATCCCCCCCCCCCCTTCGTCTGTTGTGCCTGCCTTGTCCACTGGGAGGCAGGATAATACAATCAGTCAGACAAACTTAGACTAGCACTTCTGACTCAGTAAGATGCTGTAATGGTCATTTTCCGTAGCGAATAAATAATATATGCCCGTGAGTATTCTTATATCTTCATGTCACGTGTTACTTCACTGCTCGAATTGAAATAAACACTGCTTAAAGATCTCTGTAACCGTAAATATTGATACTGACCGTTAGCATATCAATGACATTTTGTTAGCTTTAAGCTAGCCCGCGGGGAGGGGCTGATTTCGAAAAGCAACGTGCACGATGGCAATGATGGTGCGTTTCGAGTCAAGACGTGGCTTGAATACTATAAAAAGTGCAAAAAAAGTGAGATGAGGTTCTCACTCGCGTCGTACGTTTGGCTATGAACGGTACATGACGGCTGACAAGATGAATTATATAACACGCAGAATGTGACCAAACTCTTTCTTTTTGTGTTTTCTTTTTCCTTAGTCCACAGATCGTTCAATTAAAGGTCAGGGATCTCCGTTGTTGCATTCTAGAGCTTCGTCATGCGCCATACATTTTCAATGGGAGACAGGTCTGGACTGCAGGCAGGCCAGTCTAATACTGGCACTCTGTTACAACGAAGTCACATTATTGTAAAACTTGCAGAATTTGGTTTGGCCTTGTATGTTAGACCTTGTGTTGGAAAAAAAATCTAGCTTTTATTTCAACACTTTTATAACAGCGTCCATTTTTGCTCCTTAAGAGCTGAAATACTCACCAAATCTTAAAGTGGCTCAAAGGTTAACCTCGCAAACAATACGTCAGCTGTTTTATGAATCATTTACAAATTGTGGGTTATTAAGTCCCCTCGCTCTCACGCACGCACGCACGCGCACACGCACACACACACACACACACACACACACACACACACACACACACACACACGAGGTGTCACCCTCACACAGAGAGAGACAAACTGTTCAATTTCAAGGTGATGTTGTGAACACCCAAACAAACCATTTTGCTCACTGTCGTTTTGCTATTGTGAGTGAAATAGTTTTTTTTTTTGTTCAAAAAACAAAGGTCCATTTTGAGCCCTAACACCATATTTATCACTTTACTTAAAGGGACCATATTGTATGTAAACTTTCCTTTTTAAACGCTTGTCTGAAAATAGCTGGTTCTGTCCAGTGCCTGCAACCCACCAAGTTTGGAATTAAGCAAGTAAATGTTTTTGATCAGCCTTATTTCTTAAAAAAAAAAAAAAAAGTGTAAGACTGCCATGTTGCTTGCTACAGTGTACCGATGACCTGTTTTACATAATTCCACCCTCATCCAGACCACCCCCACTCATGATTTGCAAGGTAATAAATACCTCATACCAGAACAGGAGAACATAACAGGGCACATAAGTGGATTACTGTACAGTTACAGGGAATGTTTTTTGGTGAAAACTCTTCACTCAAAGAGTACATGCTAGCTCTGTTAGCAGCTATGGTAAACTGGTCGCTTTAGCTGTGTAATTTAAGTTTAAAAAAAAAAGCAAGAAAGGAAATCTTCACATGGCCCACGTACCGTACGTTTTCGTGAATTTGTCTAAGTTACGTGTTGCTTACACGGCAGAAACTTTGAACGCAGGACTTTGGTTGCCTGAGTTACTGACATTTATGTTTCAAAGTCTAGAAGTTGAGTGCATTTGAACCATAAATGTGTGTGTGGACCATGACGGACGAGTTCATTCTCAAAAGGTTTCTGAGTTGAAATGAGAGCACGTGCGGCGAAAGAAAAGTACAGAAAGAGAATCGTGACCCGGCCACGATTTTAAATCAATCAATAACCAGCAATTGTGATACTTTTTTTGCCTTCTTCTTATGTGAAAACAATCAGTTTGAGTGGAAAGCTGTAAAAGGAATTGTTGGAACGTAGAACGTGAGACTTTGAATGGTTTTAAATGGTCAAAAAATGTGGGAGGAAGACGTCAATTTCTAAAATTTGTAGTATTACCTGTTTAAATTATTCTCTTGGGTGCAATGGTGGCCAATTTCGGCATAATTTAATAGTAATAATAATAATAATAATCACGTTATCCGCATCCATTGAGTGGCGCTATCCTATCAAACAAGCCCCCAGTTTGTGACATGGTCACATGACGTGTCGTGTGGACCACGTGAAAGAAACTTCAACACCTGGCCGCCGTTAGTTCCATACAAAAGCTAATTCACCATCCCACACTGTTGTGTACTGTATTTGTCAATATGTTGTCGTTGATATTCACTGGGAAACTCTACATAATACATCCAAGTATCATTAACGTAGTTCAACGCAGCTGCAGAGAGAGGTGTGTTTCACGTGCTGCCTTCAAGTGTTCCTTCCCGTTACCCGCTGACGTGAAAACCACGGCCACTCATATTGATCACTTTTGATTACAATTCACAGTAGGATATCGAAGAATTAGCCCGATAGTTTTCCTTTTTAACTCAACATGAATGTTTTCGACGAAAGGGAACGACTCAAGATGAAAAGCTGAGGAAGTTTCCGTTTTACTTGATGCCCCCAAACAACACGTGTCTGTAGAGTGTCAAGTGAGCACGCCGCCGCAGTAAGTTCACTCAAGAGTTTTGCTACGTTGGAAAATGTTCCCTGAGAAAGCGAAAATCCCGAAACCCAATCCTCTGGCAAAAGCGGGAATTTTTTCACAGCTTTTCTTGTGGTAAGTCAGCGTCGGGACAGCACCCGCTCCCGGTCGGGGTCAAGTTGTGAACACGCGGTATAGGTAATAGAGGATTGCAGTGCTTCGTTTCCTGTAATTAGCTGTAGTTAACAATGGGCCACTTCTCCCCCCCCTCCCCCGTTGAAGGTAAATTCACATTTTCTTAATGCAATTATTTGAGCTGTGCGTTTTTTATTCCTGCATTGCAACGATAAATGGAATCGCGTCACTCCACATGCAGAATTGTAAACACGGGTCCTGTTCGATGCTCTCGACATACGCCGCCGTTTCGATGTTCCGAACGGTGCGCAATGAACTCGTTGGCACAGCGGTTTAGGAATATGCCCTCTACGGGTCCCAGGGCATGAGGGGGAAACAGCATTTCCTCATCTGTTCCCCCACTTGACTATTCTGTATCCTCAGTCTAATAATGTGTACCCCCAGGTTACTAAAATGTATCCTCACTTTAGTTTTCTGGACTTCCCGTTTAGGGGACAGTATAAAACGCTTAATGAAAAAAAGGTCGAAAGACAATTTATGCCCAAAAAAAAAAAAGAAAACAACCTGCTCTGAATCATGACCCACATTCACATGCACACACGCATCCCCACATCAGTCTCTGAAAATGTTAAAACAATCCCACCAACTATTTTAGCCTTTATGGGCGTGAAGTGTTCTCTCCATTAAAAAAAAAAAGGTTTGACGTCACTTGATCTTAGAAACTAACGCGATAAATCCCATGCGGTCATCTCTACCCATCCCTGCATTAATACACAAAGGAACTCTCCTGGGTCCAATTATCTTTAGTTTATACATGAATAATCTTCCTGAGAGATATCCCCAGAAGATATTTTGAGAATGTTTTCTGCCCACATCTTTGCTCATGTAGCAGGTAAAAATTCCAAAATTGAACCAGAGTTTAAATAAAATCTCCTCTTGGCTCCGGGACTCCTGTGTTACAATCAATACATTGAAATCTGAATCCTATTGAGATGCTGTGGCATGACCTTAAAAAGGCGTTTGATGCTCGGAAATCCTCCAATGTGGCTGAATTACAACAATTCTGCAAAGATGATGGGCCCAAATTCCCCCGCGGCGCTGCGAAAGACTCATTGCAAGTTATCGCAAACACTTGATTGCAATTGTTGCTGCTAAGGGTGGCCCAACCAATTATTAGGTCTAGGGTGCAAACACTTTTTCACACAGGGGCCCATGTAGGTTTGGATTTTGTTTTCCCTTTAATCATGAAAACTTTCATTTAAAAACTGCATTTTGTGTTTACCTGGGTTTTTTTTATGATATGAAACACTGAAGTGCGACAAACATGCAAAAGAATAGGAAATTAGGAAGGTCGAAAACACTCTTTCACACCACTGTATTTCTTGCCACTGTTTCCAAAATAGATGTCGAGCAGTCTTGGAACCGGAGTCACAGATGGTAGAGTTCTGTCCGGTATCACGATTAAAATGGATTAAAAAAAAAAAGGGTCTCACAGGGTAACAGCGATGTATAATTTGAACTGAAACTTCTTTCATCTTATTTACAGGAGAGAATTTTTTTTTAGGCCAAGGCCGGAACCGGAGTCACAGATGGTAGAGTTCTGTCCGGTATCACGATTAAAATGGATTAAAAAAAAAAAGGGTCTCACAGGGTAACAGCGATGTATAATTTGAAGTGAAACTTCTTTCATCTTATTTACAAGAGAGAATTTTTTTAGGCCAAGGCTAAATTTCTTTCCAACCCAAGTTACTTACATGACAGCATGGATACACTAAAAGAAATTGTACCAAAACCTCCAGCAAACTGTTGAGGCGTCGCAGAGATATATCTGAAAGCGTTGAAGGAATTCCTGACAAGTCAATCAGACTCCTTTGTTGACTCTTGAATGCGGGCAATTTTTTTTTTCTGAATTCAACGATCCTGTCACACCTGTCCTACGGAGCCACTGTCACGCTAAGATAAAGAAATGGAACTGGGCCTTCAGATGTCAGTCAAGACCTCAGTCTGCTTTGCCGCACAGGCCCAGGGGATGTGCCCGGCCGGCAAGCAGCCTCGTGTTCATTAAACCCGCGCAATGCAACACAGTGGGTGGGGGGTAGTGTGACGGGCTAGGGGCCGCCTCCTCATTGTCCCTGTCGAAGCTTGTTAAGCATCAAGAAAGGAGATTCTGCTGATTTTAGGGGGTTAGGCTTGGTGGCTTCATAATCTGGCCCGGATGCCTTGTCGAAGGCGTCGACGGTTGGAGTTGTTTTTGAGGTGCGCCTAAATCTTAAACCCGTGGACATGCTTGGTGTTCTCGGACGGTGAACTTGAGCGTCACCTGGTCTGAAAGAAAGCAGCAATAGGCAAATAGTTATCCGATCCAATTCATTCTTCTAAATAGGGAAAGTGGTTATCCCCCCGCCCCCCTTTTTTTTAATTTTTTTTTTTTTAAGAGTGGTGACACTGTTGATGTCATGATGATCAACGAGGATTACTGTGTGGCAGACACACTCTCATGTGTGTCCTGGGTGTTCAAACCAGAGCTGCCATGCGGAGTAATTTTGCAAACACAGAAGCGAGTGTTTTTTTTTTTTTCAACACATTTGCTTTGGATTATTCTCATAGCATGATGATGCTAATGGATGGGAAATATTTTGTTCCTTGCAATCTGTCACATCATTGTCTCGAATGATCCATGTTGAAGTTCCCTCATCTCACTGCTGTCTGTTTTTTTTTTTTTTTTTTTCCATTTCGCCCCAAGATTTCAATCAATTAGTCCAGATCTCAAACACTTTACCTCTCTCGGGTTATGTTGTAGTTTTGTTCTGTTTTTTCTTTTTTTTTTTTTTTTTATATCATGTGGCGTCCATAGAGTTTGGAAGAACCTGTTTTGACATAATAAGGAGAAGGGGAAAACAAGTACTGATATTTGTTTTGCACTTGTTGGCTTCATGAGTTGAAGCGGATTTTTTTTTTTTTTTTGTACACAGTTGATGGCAGAAGTATATTATATACAAATACACAAACTTATGACTTTACAGCGTTTGAAGTGCGTAAGTGATAGATAGACCACGATGCATGTTCAAATTTGGTTTACATTGCTGCGCTAGGAGCAGAAGTCCATTGTCAACAGAGGGCCTCCCGTACCTGTAAAGGCACCGGATGGTTCCAGTTGGAGTTGGAAATGCTCTCCATAGTTTTTTTTTTTTTTTGTACACAGTTGATGGCAGAAGTATATTATATACAAATACACAAACTTATGACTTTACAGCGTTTGTAGTACGTAAGTGATAGACCATGATGCATGTACAAATTTGGTTTACGTTGCTGCGCTAGGAGCAAAAGCCCATTGTCAACAGAGGGCCTCCCGAGGTACCTTTAAAGGCACCGCATGGTTCCAGTTGGAGTTGGAAATACTCTCCATAGGATACAGTGGTACCTCTACTTACGAAAGTCTCTTCATACGAACATTTCAAGTTACGAAACGCCTCAACAGGAAAATATTGCCTCTAGTTCCGAAAGAATTTTCAAGATACGTAAGGTAAAAATACAGTATGGGTTGCTTCTCGCAGCTCCGAATTTCCTGAACGCAACATACTTAGAGCTGCGCTGCCATTGGCTATTACCGAACATCATCCTGGCATCACATTGGCTAAGAGCGACCTCTACGTAGGTGTCTGTGTGTCAATAGATAGTTAGGTGTCGATGCAGCGTCCTCGTCATTCGCCTCTCGGGCCATGAGGTGTTCCGATAGTTTGACGTAAATGTGAATCCCCAGAAAAAGCTGGGATAGGCTCCAGCACGCCCCGTGGCCCTCATGAGAATAAGCATCTTAGAAAACGGATCAATGGATGTTAAATAACAATTTCATAACCCAGTGGAACTTATTCAAATCGGTTGCCGCGTTACACAGAAACAACAACGTTTTCATTTCAAATGTGGAGAGAACGGCAGTCATTTTCTTGAATGGCGCTTCAAGAACAGGTCATGCCACATTACTGGCTGAGATGCCAAGTAACTGTTTGCTGAATTTGGCGCCCGGTCTCTCCTGCGGGTTGCGATTCACAGCGTGATAGCAGCCGAAGCACGGAAGCGTTAAATCCCACACTCAAACATTAAAAAGTAAGGCTCCAAATCAGTGCGCCCGCATTGACATCGACCCGGATCAGCTGACTGTTGTCCGGTCAACAACAACTGAACTCGTTATTGGAAACATGCCAGGAGCCGAATGGTGGACCACTGTTCTCTTCCGAAAATGAAAAAGAAAACACTCAAGTTTCTTATGGATTAAAAAAACAAAAAAAAAAAAATCCTCTTCAATCAACCTGTTTTGATGATGATGTTTATTTTTCAGCTGGCTGAGTCCTTTCCTGCATCTCGGACACAAGCAAAGACTGGAAGCAGGTGACCTCTACACAATACTTCCTGAAGATGAATCGGAAGTACTTGGACAAGACCTGCAGAGGTAGTCTTCTTTCTTTGCACCTTTTCATTTTTACGGCACCCGTACAACAAATGGAGTCGTGTAAATCAGAATTCAACCAAAACGTCACAAGACGGTGGCGCCTTGAGACACGAGTCACCCGTTTTATGAGTTTTAGCATCTGATCTGAAAAGAGGAGTGAGTGAGTCTGACTTGAAGTTGTTTGCAGTGGTACCAGATCAGAAGACCAGATCCGGGATATGCCCCTTCAGGCGAGTGGGGGACGTGATTTGTTGCTGTCAACCGGAGTTATTGAGACAGTATGATAATTCACCGGAAAATGTCTTCTCGGCAATGTCCATGTGAATATTAAAATCACAAAGAAATATAATGGGAGGAGATCGTGCACAGCACAGTCCGTATCTGCATACAGTGGTAGCCCTACTTACGAAATTAATATGTTCTGGAAGAAATTTTCAGAACTAGAAAATTTTGTAAGTCAAGACGCGTTTTCCATGTAAATGCCCTAATCCGTTCCAAGACCCCCAAAATTCAGACATAATAGTTTCCTAAAGCATAAATATACATCAAAATGTGTAACAAATACATGTTACAATTGGATGATTGCACAATAAATCAGAGTTGTGCATAATGTAAAAAAATAAAGAATAAAAATGATGATCATTTAACTTTTAACTGCATCGTCATTGTTTTTTGCCCTCTTTTGTTTATGTTCACTCTCAGAAGTAATTTTTGCCTGGCATTTTGTAAAGAACTGATCCAAGGACGTTTGCTTTTGTCAGCTTTTAACAAGCCTTCGAAAATGGCCAAGGGGAACATCAGCAGAGTGAGCGATCGCCCGACCAGTGAACACTTTTTCTGGGGATTCACATTTACGTAAAACTATCGGAACGCTTCATGGCCCGAGAGGCAAATGACGAGGACACGGCATAGACACAAACATCGACACATAGGGTAGAGGTCCCTCTTTGCCAATGGGATGCCAGGATGATGCTCGATAATAGCCAATGGCAGAGCAGCTCTAAGTATGTTGCGTTCAGGAAACTCGGAACTGCGAGTAGCAGCCCATCCTGTGTTTTGACCTTTCGTATCTTGAAATTTCTTTGGTAACAAGAGGCAATATTTTCCTGTTGAGGCGTTTCGTAACTTGAACATTTCGTATGAAGAGACGTTCATAAGTAGAGGTACCATTTGTCAATAAGTGTTAACAAGGGTCAACCAAGACAGCATTTAGCTGCCAACACAACCACGTGGTGGGTCATCAGACTAACCGGCGATGTGTAAACTTTTTTGGGATGTAGGACGAGGGCTCCTCCACTTGTCCGCTTGAAGCAAAGTGAAGTCACTGCCTCCCGCGTACAAACACGACGAACACGCACGAGACAAGTGTCACATTGCTTTTTTTTTTTTTTCCATACTTAGTCTACTCTGAAGTCGTGTATTGGCAGATGACACACACAAGACAGGCCAGGCGGGTTTTTGCCAGTTATTAATAAAATGAGCGCCCATAGGTGCTCGACCCAGTTAGGGACTATTAAAGGGGCGGACAAAAACCCACTTCCGTCCTTGCTTAGTTCCTCCTTTAAAAAAAAAACAAAAACAAAAAAACCTTCTTATCCTTCATCCCCGAAATGGGCGTCCCCAGGACGGAATGTCCATCTCAGGCCACGATGCAAGATACAGGGCGGCACGGTGATCAACTGGTGAGCACATCCGCCTCACAGGGCAGAGGTCGTGGGTTCGATTCTCAGCCCCGGCCTTCCTGTGTGCAGTTTACGTGTTCTCGCCGTGCCTGTGCGGGTTTTCTCCGGGTACTTCGGTTTCCTCCCACATTCCAAAAACATACATGGCAGGCTAATGGAACACTCTAAATTGGCCCTGGGTGTGAGCGCGACTGGTTCCTTGTCCCTGTGTGCCCTGCGATGGGCTGGCAACCGGTTCAAGATGTACCCCGCCCACTGCCCGAAGGCACCCGGGATAGGCTCCGGCACGCCCCGCAAACCTTGTGAGGATAAGCGGATTAGATAATGGATGGATGGATGGAATTTAAATGAATGAATAACTTTGCTGTCTTTATTACTTGCAATCAATGTCCAGTAAGCCGCTTCATTCTATTTTGCCCCTGAAACTGTTGACTTGTCTCCATAACAACAATACAAAGACAGCCTGTGGCAAAGTTAGTGAAAATAAGTCCATCTCTACAATTTAGGTACCTCAAGCATTTATTCTGTTTGTGTTCACTTGTATATTTGTTATTCAAGTGATCCAATTCCCAGAAAATCAGGTACCACTGCATACTGATACAGTCATCTCATCTTTACCCACAAATGTGCTTTTTTTAGCCAAACGCAAGGCTTTTACGTGTCACTCGTTCGGTAAATCAAAGTATCTGGTTGTTGTTGTCAGAAATTATGCTAAGCAAGACTTCCCCCACCTCTATTTGAGTTGCCTAGAAAGAGCCAACCTTCCCTTTTGTAACTTCCTAATTGATTCAAACTGTCCACAATGTTGCAACCCTGTCTGGGACTCGACTCCGCTTTTGATGTTTCACTGTAATTCGTGCCTGTGCAAAAACCACTTTTTTTTTTCCACATCTTGCAGGTGCTGGGAACTTGAAGTTAAAAGGGCAACCAAACAACTACGGAAGCCCACACTGACCAAAGTCCTTATTAAGTGCTATGGGAAGTCTTTCGCCGTCGCGGGAATCTTTGCGTTTTCCTTGGTATGCACTGAAACTCCCTTTTTTTTTTTTATTGATGTTGAAATGACTAGAAATTGGATTCCACGCTTATGTGACAATAAAGAGACCCCCAGTAGGTAAAAAAAAAAAAAAAATGAGGGGAAAAATGAGAAACAGCCCTAACTCCACGTGAAGAGGGGCCTTGTTTTGCCAGCGGGCCAGTAAACAAGCAATTGTCCATCAGCCGTGCCGGGCGACAAGAAAGAACACCCTATTGTGAGCACTCCCAGGGACGTTCCACACTTAAAATGGACTCAAGGGGAAAAC